GGCTGATAGTGCAGAGAGGGGTTCGGATCAGGAGGAGAGTAGGCAGCAGCTACATTCATCGCTGGGGAAGCATAGGCTGTCGTCAGAGGACGCTCCATCAGCTGCTGTTGCTGTTGAAGTTGTTGCTGTTGCTGCTGAGCGAGTAGATTCTGCGTCTGCTGCATCATGTTCATCATGCGTTCGAGGACAGCGTTCTCTTGGGAAGCTTTAGGGGACGGCACATTGTCGAACTCGGAGTCGTCTTCAACCGGACGGTGCATATTCTTAAGGAGCAGCATGGTCACAGCCGCAGGGATGGAGTCAATCATTGTCGTGGTGAGGGCGTTCCTCCAATCTCGGTTCCGAAGTCCAGACAAGAAGTACTAATAACGCATCTGAGTGTCGTAGCACTGAGCATTATCGCAGAGACTTGAAATCATGTCGCCCCACACTTCGGCGGACATTACCCGGGGTCGTTTAGTGTTCTTCAGATTCTCAATCAGTTGCAAAGGGGTCAGACTGATGAACTGGTTGTGGAACCGAGTTCTCAGAGCCTCAAAGCTGTTGATGCGCGAGTACATCCACCAATCTTCGCCGACCTTGCCTTTCAAGCACTCCCTGAAAGCGCTGAGACGCAGGGGGTCGTCCAGCCCTATCGTGGCGTTCTCGAAGGCCTCCCAGAAGGATCTAGCTTTCTCCACCGACGCTCCTTCCGAGTAAAAGGGTTGGAGCATGCGAATTGCGTTTCGGATGTTAGTGGGCATACCATACTGGCCACTAGTAGTCGAAGGCGTATTACCATACGTAGGCGAGGAGAAGTAGGAGTTACCTCCATATTCCCCATACGCAGGACCCTGGTGGGTTCCGGCAGAAGCCGTAGATCCTCCGTTTCCTTGTGAAGCTCGGGTTGTTCTCGTAGGGTCGACTTCGTACGCGACTCCACTGGTAATCGAATTTCGAGACCCCAGGCCTTGGGTAGGAATTTGAACGGTAGGCGACGAGACCTGGAAAGGAACCCTCTGAGGAACGGGGACGGTTACCGCTGGAGCGTTCTCCCCGCCTCCTCGCAAGTGACCGTAGGGCTAGAGACCCCAAGGAGGAGCGTTAGAGGTCCTCGGAGGAATACTTGCCGGGGAAGCACGTCCACCGTTTTCAGGGACAGTTGGTAGGGAGAAGAACGGGTTGAAGTCCTGCCCATATGACGTATTTGGGGTTCGGATTGTGAAACCTTGGTACGACGGGATTGCAGTCCTTACTCGAGTCGTAGGAGGGGGAGTCCCCACAAGGCCGTTTCCACCAGTTCTCTCCATAGCGGCGGCAATTTCAGGAGGGGCCATGGATCTCAACCAGTTGAGGGAGTTAAGCCAGCCTTGCACCGTACCTCGGCCGCCTCCGCCGTTCAGGGTCAGCATCGAGTCCAACTCTTCCGAAGTGAAGGTCGCAGGGACCCCGGAGCCCAAAGCGTCCGCGGGTGGCTCGACACCAGTACTAGAGTTGTTCCCCCCAAGTCGGTTAGCCGCTTGGTCTATGATATTCTGCACGTTTTGGAGGCCTTGCGTAGTCGACAGACTGGGTCGCATTCTCGAAGGCAGACTCTCGGTCGGGTCTTCTTCTTCCCGGACAGTGGCACTCTCATCTTCTCTGTTGTTAGTAGCCGACATCTTGTCCTTCCTTCTGACGTTCTCCGCGAGACTTCACTTGGAGCAAGACCTTTTCTAGCTAGCAGACTACCCTGCTTCTCCACCAGATGTCGTATACCTCCTCTTCCTTCGAGGGTCGGGTAGTCCGCGGCTGTTCAGGGAGTACGGTCTTGTTCAGTGGCTGCAGGAACGGTAGATAGGAACACTAGAGAGTTGAAAATAAAAGGTTGTTGATTGGCTTGGCTTCCTCTTGAGTAGAAGGAGGGAAATATAAGACTGAGAGCTAACCGGAAGAGAGGTCTAACACCTTCTCGACCTTACATACACTACACTACATATAAAAAAAGGAAGGATTCACTTCGTTTGTTGTCGGCCTTCGTGGGACAGCGGAGAGCTTCTGGGAAGGGGCTTGATGTCGCGAGGTGCTTTTGGTCCCACGACGCCAAGACTCCGGCGTTCTGGGGTCCCCTTATAGGACCACCCTAACGGGCTCGGTCAAGGGTACGTGCGAGGTTGAGTTCAACGGGAACCACCCTGACGGGACGGCGGGGCGAGGAGTGATTCCAGGGTCTCGGGTCATCCCGACGGGAGGCAGAGCTCCTGGAATGACCCCTCCGTTCCCGGGTACGGGACAAACGATGCATGACCGGAGAACGTGAAAAAGAAAACAAAATGTGCGATATTGCTGACAGGTGGGTGGGTGAGCTACTGACGACGCTGGTGGCGGTGTGGGGGCTGTCCGTTCGCAACTGCAGCAGCTTTCGTGTGACGTGGTGGTCACTAGCCAATGGCATGGCAGTGACCAGCCACGTCAATTATTTGAGTTCAGCTGGTCAGATTCTGATCAGCGTAAACTTAAGATTGCGTGTCTTTACAGCATACTACAATCCTATTGGCTCAAAATCCCATGGATTTGCAACAATCAAGCTTCCAGCCGGAAATTGTGATTACCGTATTTGAGATCTCCTACTTCAGACCCAATATTTTTAAAGTTGTATTGTTGCAAAATGCACAAGATCTGTACACGTACCGACGCATCTCTATCACGTATTATTTAAACAAAACAATCTAGTTATCAAGTTCTTCTTCGGGAACTACGAAGTTTTCTATGTCGTGACGCGTATCCACAGCATGGCGCACTACGGGCACTTCTTCCAGCAACCGTCGTAGCAGCTCCCAATCAGGTTCACTCCACAACCGAAAGCTTGTAGGCGTATGAAATGGCAACGCGCTTGAACTTCTTGCGAGGCTTGCCAGTGCCAGAAATACGGGTTATCCCTTTCCGTTGGCCGAGCGTGAGGGGAGTGCGCGCCATTGCAAATTTCTGGCAATGAGCTGGTGGATAGTTACAGTTTAGCATGTTTTTTGTACTCTGAATGAGAAGATGTAGACTTGTGCGCTGTTCCATTCTCGATATGTGATTGGTTGGAGGGCAGTCTGAATTAGGAGATCACTCTGAAGTAGGAGATCTCAAATACGGTATGGGACGCTGTGCGAAATTTCCGACCAAGATAAGAATTAGGATTCATAGGCTTTCATTGAGGAAATACCATCGGTCAGTAGAAAACTACTGATCTGTCCCCAACGCGGCGCAGAAAAGACGGCAATCAGTAGAAAATGATAAAGTTCGATCAGTACCTAACTCTAATCATAGCTACATTTCTGCTGCCTTCAGCAAAACCGCTTTTGCCCTAAGCGTACCATGCCTCGAAAGCCGCCTCCGAATTATGGGAGTTCTCCCTTCGTGGCAGATCTTTCTGACATCGCTACAGCTATAAGCATGGGTGTTTTGAGGGAGGACGCAAAAGTTGATACCTCAGACCGCTCCAGCCAAAAGTATACGCGACGCGAACCAATATGCCGACACTGAGTTTCCAACACAAACAAGGAAACTTACGACACAAACAATTGCAATCGCTGACTGCTGATTAATAATTAAGGTATTTCTTTCCAATAGAATATCTTACTGATCCTCACTCTCAAAAAATATCAGCAGCAAGCGGACTGGGGAGTCAATCTCTGTGAGTAGATAGAACTCTACTAACGTACCCTGAGAGTAACCAGTTGGATACGTCGTGTACCCAGCTACTTCGACGTCAACATGTTATTTCGGTGTACTATTTTTTAGCTGCTCAAAACGCCTTTATTTATATGGTTGTTTTTGTGGAGTGCACTTCGGTGGCATTCGCCATTTTGGTCGATGCCTCCGCTCAACCCCCGACAGCGTCACGCCCGAACGATCCAGCGCCGTCTGGACGGCTCCTTTTGGCAGCTTCGTCTAAGCAGGGAAGTTAGCATACCGAACGAAGTCGACCGAGAGCTGGACGCCGAGCGTGCATCGTTCATAGGTGGTGGGTTACGTGACGTTGTCAGTAGAGGAGAAGGTATTTTTGCAAACGAGCGCCGAGCTAGTAGAGGAGACAATGCTCAGCTCTTCGAGGTAGAAAGAATGTACGCCAAACGGTGGGTGAATAACTTCGTATACTACCTTATTCAATGGGTGGGGTACACAGAGTTGACGTGGGAGCCAAGTACCAACGTGCCAGCGCGCCTAAAGATGGTGTTCGAACACGAGTCAGTCAATTTCGTCTGGGTCTATCAATCTACGCGGGAAAGACGAACCCAGCGTCGCGAGCAGCCAACGCGCCGGAGTCAGAGACTGATAGACCAAACGAGGCAGGACAAAGAGAAAATGCAAATGCGAACTTAACACCAAACGAGACAGGATTAAGGCTCGGTCTTATATCTGCCCACAATAGCGGGATGGGATGCCTGCAATTTCGAGAATCCGCAGGACTTCCAACCCGGTGTTATAGACAGGTGGCTCGTGTCGGCGGTGTGTGCTGCTGCTGGAATAGACGATTGGACTTGAGATGAGCGGGATTTGTGTATCCCAAGACCGTGCCACACAACGTCCCAGTGGGACGAGAAGTGTGTCAACCTTACAGGTCATCCCAATATCCCGCAAACTAGATCGCTGATTGGTCCGTCCCTCTTTTGGGACGACATAAGACTGAGCCTAAGAGAAAATGCAAATGCGAACTTAATAGCACTCCAGTAGCTGTGAAATCAGTAGTTGTGTAGGCAGCGCCGCGTTGGGGACAGATCAGTAGTTTTCTACTGACCGATGGTATTTCCTCGCTTTCATTGGTAGTTACAGAGAAAATCAGGATTGGAGAAAGATAGGTTTTAGGATGGACCTGGATACGTGCGTGAATATCCGGTTGTTAAGAACTACTGGTTGTGCGGCAGCTACTAGCTTGCAGCCGCCAACTCTAACTGATTAATCACTTCTCAATTTGCTTTCGAGCAGCAACTCCTCTCCTCCCCTACAACTGTCTACGGCGCCGTACTCGCCGTCTACGCTCCTACGCTTCCTCGCTACTTTCGTGACATTGCGCCCTGGCTTTTCTGCATTATATCGTTCCCTTGCCCGCCGTATCCCGATGTTCCGTTGCTCGGAAGCCAGAAGCAGCTAATGGCGTCGATGTTGTTGAACTGAACGGGATCGTTGAAACCAGCAGGAAGATTGGTACCGGGCGGAAGCCCCAGCAAACGACGAGAGTCAACCACCAAGCCAGAATTGTTGTCGATGTTCATTGGCTGCTTGCGAGAATCTTCAAACTGCCTATTCACGATTGAGTGTAGGCGGTTCTGGCAGACGTTGAGCTCCGGGCCGATGCGAATACAAAGAACGTATTGCACGCCTGGACATTGCCGCCACGCATCGGCCTTAAAGTCCAAGCTACGACCCCCTGGCTAGTAGGTTTAGTAAATCCCAACCTCTACTTTCAGTGTGTGGAACTCCACTCAAACAAGGGGTGGTGTAAGCTCTGCTCAGAAGGTCCTCGCGAGGACCGAAGCTGGCGTCTGGCTTGAAATTCTCTTATAGGGCGACGTCCACCCCAAAGGAGGACTCAAGGTTGTCGATATTAGCCGGTCCTCTATGCCCTATTAATGCCCAAAATTACGGTTTCGTGTAGAATTTCCCGTAGCTCAACAATGAGGATCCTGCCGCCATGAGCCGCGTCGCGGCGCTTGCTGCTCGGAGTGGACGTAGCATCCAGTCATCTCGGGTCGCATCGCATAGCCCGAACGGAACCCCGTCACTGCCGTCTGGAGGATTCAGCGAATTCTTAACTTGGCGCCAGTCGAGACAGCGGATAGCATTATTGACGGTGCGTCGTATCAAAACTTCCAGTGAGCCACTCTTCACCGTCGACAGCCACGTCAGCACACATTTTGCGGCGGGTCCCAGACGTGAGAGAAGAGAAGACGCCGTAGTTGGAGTTTTATTACTCAAATGTTATAAATCAAAAGTTTAAAATAGAAAATGGAATTAGGCGCATATTGTTTTAGCCTCGTGTTTCCTTACAACAGTAGCAAAATCATTTGAGGTGAGTCTTGAAACTGGGACTTGTTGTGCCAAAGCCATTTTGTGGATATGGTTTTCAAGCAGGTTTTTAATGTACTTTTATAAGGAATGACCACGACGCGACGCATGATACTATATGTGCATACATATTATATTTAAACTACGTCGTGATAAAAACTTGGGATTCATGGCGTCACTCACGTCTTGGTATCCTACATATATCAACAATCGTCTAAAATATAAATGAGGAAAACTGACAGCGACGTAACTTCTTAGTTTTTTGGACTTCCGTGTAATCGGATTTGTTATACTTCTCATCTTACGTCGAAGTGTAAAATTAAAGGGAGTTCGTACATGAACCTTTAAAGCATAATGAGACTCTAATCAAGCGGACAGAAAGGTAAAGCCATGTTTACGTAGTGAATATAAAGCTTAGTCTGGATGGTATTCGGCCAAAGAAGCACGGACCTGATCTTACAGGTGCTTACATGATTCTATGATAGAATCATAGAGAGAATATCTATCCAATTCGGCGGTAATTGTGGCTACATCTTCGTCGAGTTGCCAATCGTTCTCATTAGCCGTCAGCCTCTTCACCTTGGTCAGCGTCCCTGTCTCTACCAGTTCCTGCACCAAGCTCACCCTCCTTGTCACCCCCAGCCTTTGCGCCTTTATCATCAGCTCCTTGGGTACCTGCTTTCACTGGTTGAGCTTGACCAAGGGCCGTTCGTTTCAAGTGTCTTGCACGTTGCTGGACAAGTTTCTCAATCCACTTAGCAACTTGGGTAAAATTTCCTTCGGCCGCAGTCAACATTCTTGAATACCACCCGTAGGAATTTTGGATCGGAGCTCGCGTGAAAACTTGTCCACGTTTCTCTACTAGACCGCGATACTTAACAGCAATCTCGTACACAAAGAGAACATTAACAAATGTATGGTCGCTAGTATACTCGTTAGGTTTTCCATCCCGAAAATAATCATCCCACTCGTAGTTTTCACGTCTGGGAACACAAGCTCTGATGAAGTTAGCAATCCTTTTCTCAGCGGGGTCATTAATGCGGAGCAATAGGAAATGTACTTGGACCACGCCGCCTTCAGTCGTTTTGGCCATCTGAAACTTAAAGTATTTTCCTGGCTGAAACCGTGCAGCGTAGCGGTGACCATGATCTCCAGAAACCTAATGTCGAGGATACGGTGACATCGTAGGAAGTTTGCCGTAATATAGCGTCGTTGTAAAGCATGCCGCGCTCAGCCCGAGCGCTAATCCATCACGCTTTTCACAGTTACACAGATGCGGTTGAATATGGGTCAAGTTCTCGACGGTAGAAACATGGTACGCAGTGATCGCCATTGTGGAAAATCGAACAGTGCGTCATCAGGAGGCTGAGCGCAAAAAGATATTTCTTGGAAAAATAGAAGCATAAGCATTGGGTTTTCGGCAAAACCTCGTTACTCTTTTTTTCAGTTTTTCCGAAATTTCCGACTACCGGTAGTCATATTTGAAAGTTGGGGAATCCTATTAATTTTCTAAAACGGTCTATCAGACTCGTTGAACTACACGGCTCCGTTTGGCTTTTTTGGCTCCGAACGGACCGAACACACAAATGCGTTACCTTCAACAGACTACCCACGGCTCAGCAACGAAAGCAATCGCTGACGAGCTGTGTGTACTAACGGCAATGCGGACTAATCGACGTTAGATTCTCACCCGAGCCGCGATAGTGAAGCATGGGTAGCTTTAAGTTAACGTCAATACTTTGCGATATAGCGCTGCTTAGAAGCAGCGGGGCTAGATCTAAGTACATGTTTTATAGTCATTTCGCACTGTGCACTCCGCGCCAAATGAGATCCGTGGATCAATTTATACCCTTTTAGATTTCTGCTTAGATATGTCAGAGCTTTGATTAGTAAAATACGAGACTTGTGTAAACGTCGCATACAGTGCTGGCATTAGCTATAACATCTAAACTTTTTTCAAATTTTGGCCACTACAGATCTTCAAATGTGACCAAAATTGGCAAATCGCCGAGCCGCATTGAGATCCGGTCTTTATGTTAAAAATGAACAAAAATTGACACGTCGGCGAAAAATAAATCTTTCCACAGCTACACGGTCGTTGGGGAAAATGGCAGTCGATTATGGTTTGGTGTTGGCCCTCAGCACGGTCTAGTAGAGACAACGGGCTGATTCCCAAAAATACTAAATATGCAGTATAAATATAACTAAATCTAGGGAGTGGTGTGGTGGGAGCTTTGGTCTTGAGCAGAGAAACCGAAACTGAGTGGTGCTGGAGTCAGCACTACCTTCACGGGATAGGCATACCCAAAACCTTGGCTTGAGCTGCGCTGACTTGTTAACTTTCTCTGCCTCCAAAACCTCTATTCCTGTTACCACGAATGCCAATAATATAAGAACAAAAACGACTTCTGCTTTCTTATGGCTATAGGCATTTGTTTCAAGCTGTTTTCATGTAGCAGCCTTGCCCAAAGCCAGGTGCACTAACCGACGCAGTCAAACGTAGCTCGGCGCACTAAATGAGAAGTGAGCGTCCCGCCCGCTTCATATAGAAATTGGATCGAAAACGCACCTTGGCTCTCTTTCTAAGTCTTTCCTGGCAGCGTTAAAGTAATTAGAAAGCAACTACGTTGATATTACGCTACGACTACAGTCTGGCTAGCGTTTTACACCAATCTTCCGTAAAAAAAACATGGTTTCGGCGGAGTAGCCGCAACTCAAAACTTGAGTCAAGCCTACCTCTGCATTATACTTGGTAATAATAAGTATTGATCGGAGTTGATGAGAGGGTGGAACCTGAATATTATGGTAGATACCTGTACTTTATCACATTTAACCACTCGCAGGGCCAACCAACATACATAGCACGAAGTAGGTAATTGTTATTTTACTTATAAAAAAGCCAATTTCTGTAAGTAGAATACTCCTTCGAGCCGAACGAGTCCGGGTTTCCGAGCCAACCTCTAAATGAAGAACATGGAGCACTTACGCTTCCTTCAGTGCGCCGATTTACGTTAAACAGCGTCGGTAAACACTCCTAATTGTGTAAAAGACCACTACATAAACAGCTAGGAACAAACGCCTATTGCCGTTAAAAAAACGCAAATTTACGCCTTCGTTCTTATACTTTGTGTCGGCCCCCAAATGCGTTTATCTGCAGCTTCGTCAGTTCGGCTCCCAATTTTAGAATGGCGACCATTATTGGCTTTTTCCTGATTAGCTACGCTTATCGACCAATTTTCAGAGCTTGGGGGCACGATTAGTGGACAAACGATTGAAAGAACAGCAGTTCTTAAAGCTAGTGCACTGGTGGCGCCATTAACATTAGATCACCACCCAGGACCATACTAAAGTCAGGTAAAATGTATGGTCATGATAATAGCTAATACAAACACAAATACGACATTTGTATGGACTGGATGGTGGTAATGCACCGACGCGGCTGTGGAATCGCAATAACTACTCGTAGCAACACTGAGCGCTTATTCCCTACTTTCTATCATCACTAAGCACTGTATTCTACAAGTTATTGGCAGCAAAGTCCCACGGTCCCACTTCGTAGATTACCATTTTACAGTATAATTAAATGGGTTTTGGGTGCGATTATGGTAGAAAGCCTTTGTAAGCTGGTGGGGGCAACCACATTGTATTTCGGCTTCATGTACGGTGTCGCATGAGGCCTAGAACTTATAGTGTCGATAAATGGAATACCATCGACCCTGTACGGACCAAATTACATTTCGAGACACCGTGGGTGCCAACCGTGTCTTGGACAGCGGTAAAGCGTTAGCTGCACCATGTCAAAGCGCATTCGCGCCACCAAGACGACTACTTTGCTGAAGTCGAAGCTTGAAGGCGTCGAGTCGTCCGCTAACGCAAGCATCCTCGAGATCTGCTGGTCCTGCGCGAGGAGAACAAGCGCAAGGTCGAAGCTTGCCGTGCTGAGGACGGCCATCAACATCATGCAGATGCTGCCGCTTGCGAGCCCGCTACCTCGTTGCAGCGGCGGCGGCCGAGGAGCAGCGTGCATCGTCATGCTCGAGATGGACGAACGCGCGCGGTGCGAAGAGGAAGAGTCGCGTGTGCGCTCACAGGGGATGATCTTGTAGGCGGCTAGTCTCACAAAGAAGGGGAAACTTGCTCACCATAACCAAGAGCCACCCGTTAGGCGCTATCAAAAACCGAGCGGGCCTTTGCATTTAAGTGATGTCATGCAAGTATGTTAGGACAAACTACTGCGTTCAGCTTCTAATGTTTTAAGTGCTCATTACAACAGCGAAAAAGAGATAAATACCAACATACTTTCATCGCTACAGAGGGTGTACGGACCCGTAAAATACCTGCCGTGCGTAAACAATTGCTTACTAATCGAAACAAGTTGCTAAGGCCTACTCCACAAAAGCCCATAGTCGTAAGGTAACAGAAGATTAAGCTGGCTGTATACTGTTTTTATACTACCCGTGTCCCATTAAGCGGCTTGTCAACCGGATGTGACGGCGTTGTGGAGCGTCCGTGCCGAACTTCTGAGCGCTGGCAGAATGTGCTCCAGGTCGCCGTCTTTGAGCAGTGTTAAGATGGTGGCCACGCAAGGGAAATCGGAGTCCGAGACCACTTTCATGTGTGTAAGTGCG